ACACACCCTCCCTGGTCCCTGGCTTCTTTTGCTGGAGCCATAGCGGCCTTTGCATGTGCCGGGCCTCCCTGCCTCAGGGCCTTTGCTCGGGAGGTGCCCTCTACCTGGAATTCTCTTCCCCTTGATCTTTGTGGGGCTGGGTTGTTGTTATTGTTTTGTTTTGTTTTTATAAACTCCTTCCGTTTTCTTCAATGCATCACCGCTGCCGGAAGTTATCTTCGTTAGGTGTTCCCTTGCTTTTTTTACTTTCTTCCCCACAAGCTACCACGGCGTGCGCCTGGCACTGGCCCGCATGAGTGGCCTTCGATGGAGGACCGCTGAGTGGCTGACGGGAGGAGCCTGCGGTGCCTGCTGGTCTGTGACAGTCCCGCCTCCCCTGGTGGTCCTGCTGCCTGCCTGGGTCTTTGCCCTCCAGCCCAGGCCGAGACGAGGAAGATAAGGTCAGGGCGGTTTGTGTCCTGCTCACCAGGGCCCTGGATGGTCACTTGGCGAAGCGTTTCTGGGCAGTGTCAGAGCAGAAGCCATTGGAGGGCACTGACCGGGCAGGGCAAGGCCAGATGGTGGAAAAACAGAAGACATTTATTCCCGAGAAGATTTAGGGGGACCAACGGGCCGTTAGATGAGAGGGATGTGTGATGGGGTGTTTCAGCAGGCAGGACCAGGAGCAGTGGCAGAGGAGACGGAGGCCCGTGGCGGTTTAGGAGGATTTCTGTAGCTTCTCTACTTGCACAATGGCTCATCGTGTGAGGTAGTGAGCCTCCTGTCGCGGGGAGAGGGCCACTCCTAGGGGTGGGGTGGAGGGGACGTCATGAGGAAGAAGGGCGGAACCGGTGGCTTGCAGGGCCTTTCCGCATGTGAGCTTCTAGGAATCGAAGGTTGTCCCAGCTTCCCAGGGTGACCTAGAATTTTCCCGTGGAGAAGAGAAGAGCCATGTCAAGACACGGGGAGCGCCAGCCGCCGGGAGAGGCAGGGTCCCGCTCCGCGGCCCTGCGAGACCTTGAGTAGCCCTCTCTCTCTTAGGAGGTCCGCCCCCTGAGGGCAGGGACTTGTCTCAGCCACCACGGCGTTCCCGTGCTCAGAACCTGGTCCAGGGTATAGTAGGTGCTCAATAAACCTGTGGCTTCAAAGCCCAGCGCTGGGATCTGAGCCCCGGGGGAGCCCTGCCCACTCGCTGGCCGTGTGGCCTCGCTGGCTCCTTCACCTCTCGGAGGTGTTCCCTTGTCTAAGTGTGCGCGGTGACCTGAGGTGACGGCCTCCCTCCCAGCCAGGGGAGCAGAAGCAGAGGCTGAGCTGGCACACAGGGGACCCCGCCGGCCCTGGCTGCTCCCCTATTCTCAGCAGCAATGCTCACCTCTCTTTGTTGCTGGGCCCACCTCCTCCATTCCCACTGTCCCCTGGGCAGCAGCCTGCCGGCCGACAGGGAAGGGCAGACCAGTTGGCGGGGCCAAAGGTGGGCGAGCTCGGGGCTGGCGGAGCCTGGGCTGGGTGAGGCTGAGTCACATCCATCACAGCCTCAAGGGTGGGGGTGGGTGTCATGGTGACAGGACACTCGCTTCCGGTGGGCAGGGTGCTGTGTCACGCCTCAAGGCAAACAGAGAGGCTTTGAGAAAGACAGGAAACCGGAGGACACGTGGAGAAGTTCATCCCATCGCCGCCCAGGGATCCCTTCAGCGGAAGCACCTGGAGCCAAGCTCCCGCCTGCACCTGGCCCTCCTGCCACTTGGCCTGCCCGGGCGGGTCCAGCTGAAGCTCCAGGCCTCCCTGCTCACAGCCATCCACGCCCCCCCCTTCCCTAACTCGGGCGGCACAGTTGGTAGGAGCGTCGTCCCGTACACCTAAAGGTTGCATGTTCGAGTCCCAATTCCCGCACAGGGCACGTATCTAGGTTTTGGGTTTGATCCCCGGTATGGGAGGCAACCAATCAATGTTGCTCTCTCACATGGATGTTTCTCTCTCTCCCTCCCTTCCTCTCTCTCTAAAATCAATAAACATATCTTTGGGTGAGGATTAAAAAAAGACCACAGCTCATGCTGTTCCGCCATCCTGGCATGCTCCTCCCTGCCCGGGGCCACCTGCTGAAATCCTGCCCGTTCCGAGGCCCACAGTTAAAACACCATGGTTTGGCCCTGGCTGGTGTTGCTCAGTGGATAGAGCGTCCGCCTGTGGACCCAAGGGTTCCAGGTTCAATTCCGGTCAAGGGCACGTACCTGATTGCAGGCTCCTCCCCGGTCCAGGCCCTGGTCAGGGCTCATGCAGGAGGCAACCAATCCATGTGTTTCTCTCACATTGATGTTTCTCTCTGTCTTTCCCTCTCTCTTCCATTCTCTAAAAATCAATGGAAAAATATCCTCGGGTGAGAATTTAAAAAACAAACAAATAAACAGACAAACAAACAAATAAATAAAAATAAAACACCATGGATTTTTTTAAACCATCTTTAAAAAATATTTTTTCTTTTATTTCAGAGAGGAATGGAGAGGGAGAGAGAGAGATAGAAACATCCATGATGAGAGAGAATCATGGATCGGCTGCCTCCTGCACACCCCACCCTGGGGATCAAGCCCACAACCTGGGCATGTGCCCTGACCGGGAATCGAATTGTGATCTCCTGATTCATGGGTCGACGCTCAATCACTGAGCCACACCGGCCGGGCTAAACCATCTTTTGACACAGCCCCTGCCACTGTCCTCTGCCTGCCCTTGACGTTGCAGGCCTTGCCAGGAGCACCCCGCAGGTCAGTCCGTGCTCTGCACGAACCTTCCTCTCCCCTCTCTGCCCTCTCACTAAACCCCCCTACCCCAGCCCGAAGATGCCTGGGGCCCAAGCATTTCCCTCCAGCTCCACACATTTCTACGCCATTTCTTACCGCGCTGCTTCTGTTCTCACCGTGAGGACCTGAGAGGCTGTAACTGCTCATTGAGAGAACTGGGATCGCTCCTGGGTATTTACCCAGGCGAGCTGAGGACCTACATGCACACAGCGCCCTGCGCACGAATGTTTACAGGGTTTATGTATAACTGCCAGCGCTGGGAAGCCACCGAGATGTTCTCCGATGGCTGAACAGATAACTGAATTGGGGCACGTCCAGGCCATGGCGTGTTATCAGAGATCAAGAGAAATGAGCTATCAAGTTACAGAAAGAGACGGAGCAGCCTTAAACGCGTGTCTCCAAGTGAAAGAAGCTGCTCTGAAAAGGGGCTGCGTTCTGTATGATTCCCACCATCTGATATTCTGGAAAAGGCAGAGGGATGGAGACAGGAGAGAGGTCAGTGCGGGCCAAGGGTTGAGGGTGGGGCGAAGGAGGAGTAGGTGGGGCAGGGAGGATTTTAGGGCAGTGAAACCATCTGTATGACATAGTAAGATGGACACATGCCATGATGCACTGGCCACAATCCACAGAATGTACAGCACAAAGAATGGAGCCCAGTGCAAACCATGCACTTCAATTAATAATATGCCCGGCCGGCGTGGCTCAGTGGTTGAGTGTTGACCTATCAACCAGGAGGTCATGGTTTGATTCCGGATCAGGGCATATGTCCGGGTTGCGGGCTTGATCCCCAGCGTGGGATGTGCAGGAGGCAGCCAATCAATGATTCTCATCATTGATGTTTCCATCTCTCCCTCTCCTTTCCTCTCTGAAATCAATAAAAATATATTAAAACTAGTGGCCCGGTGCACAGACCTGTACACATTGAAAGGAAATTAATTAGAAGAAATATTTTAATAGCACTATTTGCCTTTTCTCTATAATAGCAGTGTCAACCAAATTCACGATCGACAATGACAGATCAAAACACACTCATGTGATTGGCGCCAGCGAGAGCTTTATATGTATGCGCATGCGCCAAGTCAGCTTAGCCCTTTATAGATACAGAATAAACTTGCTTAATTAGACCTGCTTTCTGATGTAGCTAAACTTTTCCCAGCCCAGTGAAGCACCCCAACTTCTCTTTCAGGTAATGGTCAGCAATACAGCAGTAAATATCAACACGGAGCAGATTATTATTGTAGATCACACAGGGAGAACAAAGGGTAAAATATTTAACTGTAGCAGTGTTTGACTATATCAGCGGTTCTCAACCTGTGGGTCGCGACCCCTTTGGCGGTGGAATGACCCTTTCACAGGGGTCGCCTAAGACCATCCTGCATATCAGATATTTACATTACGATTCATGACAGTAGCAATATTACAGTTATGAAGTAGCAACGAAAATAATTTTATGGTTGGGGGTCACAACATGAGGAACTGTATTTAAAGGGCCAGAAGGTTGAGAACCACTGGACTATATTCTGCTCAGTGGGAAAACCTGAAGTCATTTTTAAGGTCTACCATTTCTTACTTCTTTTCAGTCAGGTCAAGTTTCTAAGCTTTCTAAATCTCCATTTCCCGGCTCATGAAAAGAAAATAGGATTCCACCGAGTCTCCTATCTGCCTACTCCAGGACTTCTGTGAGGATCAAATGAGATGAGGCATGGAAAACGCTTCACAGACATTTGGTTACAGTGTGAAATGTTTCCACCTGGCTGTAAAGCAAGTCATGTTCCTGGGCTGAAGAAACTGCAAGGAGGCTAGTTGCTAGGGAGAGGAAGCCGGGCGTTGCTGCGTGATGTCATTACCTGGCACCCACAGCCACCTACAGTGGGCTGCATTTTGTGCCATGGGGTCTCGGCAGTTTAGGCTGTAATTTGGTGGGGTGTCGCTCCAAGGTGGTGGCGGGGCCTGTGTTCCACTTGGGAGAAGCCGAGTGTTGCTTTGGGGGCGCCAAGTCCAAGGTGCCGTTTCTCTGTAAATGGCCAGTGTGCGTCCCGGCAGCTCCTGTGTTGAGCGTCTGCCCCCTGGTGGTCACTGCACATCATAGCGACCAGTTGGACGGTCAGACACTTAGCATATTAGCCTTTTATATCTATACGAATAAAAGGGTAATATGCTAACTAGACTAGACATCTTCCGGACATCCTTCCAGACAAAGCCACGGTGGTGGGGGCCAAGGCAGAGGCCGTTAGGGGTGACCAGGCCGGCAGGGGAGGGCAGTTAGGGGTGACCAGGCAGGCAGGCAGGTAAGTGGTTAGGAGCCAGCGGTCCCGGATTGCGAGAGGGATGTCCAACGGCCGGTTATCCCCCGAGGGGTCCTGGAATGGAGAGGGTGCAGTCGGGCTGAGAGAACCCCCCCGCCCTCGTGCATGAATTTCATATGTAGATAATAATAATAATAACAATGCTGTGCTAATACAGGCTCATCAGTTGTAGCAAATGGATGTAACATGGATGTAAAAATCAGGGGCTCTATGGTGGGGAGGAGAGACATGTAAGCAGGTGGGGACTCTGTATTTTCTGGTCAATATTTTTGTAAACCTAAAACTGCTCTAAAACAACTCACCTCTTCTTCTCGTCAGCACTGACGTCCTCCTTTGGAGACGGTGCCTCTGTCCTCTCTCATCACGACCTTTCTTCCCTGAGGCCTGAGCCCAGGAGGAGCTGCGGAGGCCCCTGCTGAGGAATTTCCCACCGTGCCGGGTGCCGGGTGCCAGGATGAGCTGGCCGAGGAGCTTACCCGTGGAGGATTCGGTCAGTTCCTGAGCTGCGGGGTGGGAGGCCGTGCGGGCTCTGGGAGGCCCGGCCAGGCCTGCATTTCCTGAGAGGGAGGGGGGGTCTGAGAGGCCTTCCTGAAAGAAGCACCGAGGAGGGTCTCAGAGGAAGGGGCTGGGCTCATGTCTGGGGGGCGAGGGAGGACGCGGGAGCCAATGCCAGGAGGCGGGAGAGGGCACGGGGCTGGGTGGGCAAGGGCATCCCAGAGCAGGTGCCTGGCAACAGCCTCCAACACCCAGGCAGGTCCCAAGGCCCTGCTCAGCGCGGCCCAGGCTGGAGACACTGGCCAGGGCACGACCTCTCCCCCTTCCCCCGGGCCCTCCCCACGGGGAGACTTAGAGGGTGTGGGTAGTGCGAAGGGCATGGCTTGGAGCCAAAGGCTGTAGGACCTCGGAGAAGTCACTTCATCTCTCTGAGCCTCAGTTTCCCCAAGTGCACAGGGGGGTTGTGAGGAAGCAGGAGCTGCTATGTCTAAGCATCGTCACGGGGCCTGTCGCCACGGACGGAGGTCATTGGGCGACAGCCATGGTTACTCCTGGGGGCTGGGCGGAGCCCGGGCCAGTTCG